ATTCCGAGATGAAGACAAGAGGGGATGGAAGGAAAAAGGGGGCTCTATGTACAAACCTCAGCATGGTGTGGAAGGATTGAAAGGAAAGGCACTTACCAGTAAGGTTGGAGTAGGTACAAATCGTCAAGTCTTGCTTTTATGCTGTTGGTATGGTTTCCAGGTTTGGGAGTGCGAGACGACTCGAAGTGTCTCACTTGTATTTTCTGTTTCTGTTTCTTCTCTTTCTTGTACGCTAGGCTACGGTTTCTGCCATTGTATTCGCCTCAGGAATTCAAAGGTTTTCTCTGTTTTCTCTACTTCATATATATAAACTGTAGGATATCTATCATAATATGGGACCAGTTTGTATGCATTAACCTTTGGGGATAAATCACAGATACAGTTAACCGAAGAACCAGCCTGAATTTGGTTGTCACTTCTCATTGAGGACCAAACTTGAAATCTATGTAAATGTGGGGAGCAACATAGAACAATTGGCATTAAGAGCCCATTTGGTAATACCCAAATCGGCTGTATTGGCTAATTCTGCTGAAATTTATGAAGTTCTGGCTGAAATGGTTGTATTGACCGATTTGTGAAGAAGACAAAATTAAAATATATTTTAATAATAAAATAAAGAAAAAATTATATGAAAAAAAAGCTAAAACAGTCCTCTACAGTAACTACAGTAACTTCAGCCAATACAGCCAGAAGAGTAACTCCAACCTTACTTTTTCTTATTATTACACAATTCAGCGCGCGAAATCAAAAGTTACATGTTTGATGGAAAAGTTAGCTGATAAGCCTGATAAGCCAAAAATCAAGGTTACCAAACGGGCTCTAAAACTTGAACTGGCTATTTAATAAAATATCTCCATCATATTTTTGTTGTTCGCTTTAAATACGCTATATGTATATAAATGGTCGTGTGTGCTTCTAGCATCCCAATTCATGCATTAACAACAATTTGTTCAGTAGTTCAAAACTTTCTTATATATACTCTTGCACACATAGTTGTTACGGCGGGGTTTTGCGGCGCGGCGCCTTTGGACTGCCATACCGCCATGGCGATATGGCGCCCGTCGTGGCGGAGTCGCGGCGATAAGTCGACATATACATTAATAAATTCATAATATGTTTTACATACTAAAAAGCCTACATGCAACACTTATACCCAACAATACTAATGAAGTAAATGAAGTAATAAAACATGTAATCATAGAAATAACATAATCCATATGACCATAACCATAAGCCTATAGTTCATCAAAACAACCACAAACATTATCCATAATCCAAAAACTAGAAAATAGAAATAAGTCAATAACATAATCCAACACAAAAAGACTTAAACATCATCAAGGAAATCGTCAAATCTAGAGTCAGCTTGGTTGTTATGAATGATATCCATGGCATCCTGATCCTCATCATCGACGTCTAAATTATCATTTGGAAATGGTTCACTCTCTTGACCATTCTCTTCAACATCTGTATCATCATTACGACGTCGAGAATAAACTCTAACTGAACTTGAAGGTTCACCACCATCACCTCTCCTAGGATTACGGCGATCTAGATTTCTTGAAGCACCAAGAGCTTCATCAACTTCATCCCATAAAAGATCACCCCCATGGTGAACTACTTGACTACCAGAATCATCAACCCACTCATTATCCCAAGAAAACTCTTCTAAAACCAAAGGGTTGAAACTACTTCCTTCTTCACGCCTCTTTTTGAACCTGCTGACAATCTTCCTATTGTACTGAATGAACACCAAATCATTCAGTCTCTTATGCTCCAACCTATTTCTTTTCTTGGTGTGGATCTAAATAAATAAATAAATAAAATTATTATCATTTGAAGTAAGTAGTTAAAAACCTATAGACTTCAAAAGGATGGCGTAACTTACAAATTCAAACGTACTCCAATTGCGTTCGCAACCCGAAGAAGAACAACAAAGGCCTATTATGCGTAATGCAAGTGATTGTAGCTCCAAAGCATGGCCACCAAAAGCATTCCACCAATCGACTAATAAGTAATAAAAATCACAAGTGTTTTAAGAATTCATATTTTATAAGTAAAAAAAAATTAAAATAAATACTATTATTTTAGTAACAACTAACAAGGTATGACTTACGAGGCGCCTTGGTTTTTTTATGTTTGATTGGCAATGGCTTTGCAAATCCTCCTCGCAAGAAATCATAATCATCAACTTGTTTGCTAATCTTGCACTCCAACTCATCATCACCAATCATCTTGTAAACCACATCATTGAACAACGCTCGTTGCTCATAAGCATATGCAGTATCAGTCCTCTTCAAGTCAAAATACTTAGATGGGTTGAGAAATAAAGCAGCCCCATACAACTTTACTTCCATTTGATCTGCCCAATGATCCTCAAAAATCTTCATTAGCTTTTTCAACACTCTGGGCCTACCTGCAAACGACTCATTTATTTTTTTCTTAGCTTCTCTCATAGCCATGGCAAGCTCAGGCATAGTCGGGTGCTCATCCCCATCAACTATCCTTGGAACAACAAGAAGTGGATGACATGCTCTCAAGGTATCCTCCACCCCATTCCAAAATTTAGTAGCAAGAATAGTGTCACATACCCTTTGCCCCACTGCTGTACTTGACAACTTCGAATTATTCCAATCTTGACTCACAAACAAGTTCCTCAAAGGTTCTCTATACTTGCACAAACTTTGCAAAGTGAGAAATGCTGTGGCAAACCGTGTAACACCAGCCCTCACTAGATCTCTTCCACCAGTTCTCTCCCGCATTGCGCTTAGAATCCTTGTGTGCCTATAAATAAAAGTGGTGCAACGTCTTGCACTATCAATCCAGGGCTTAAACTCAACGAGTTTCCCAATATCCTCCATCATAAGATCTAGGCAGTGAGCCGCACAAGGAGTCCAAGAAAGTGTGGGTATACGCTGCTCCAATAGCTTCCCAGCGGCTTTGTAGTTTGCTCCATTATCTGTCACTACTTGAATGACATTCTCTTTGTCAATCTTTTGAATCTGTTTCTCAAGCAATGATGCTAACAGACTTGCATCTTGTGACTCATGCGAAGCATCAATCGACTCTAAGAAGAAAGTCCCTTCTGGACTATTAACAAGAAAATTTACCAAGTGTCGACTCCTTTTATCGGACCATCCATCCGACATGAGTGTACATCCATATTGCTTCCAAGCAATTTCATGTTTCTCCTTCAACTTTTCTGTATCCTTCACAACTTCCTCCAGAAGAGGCACCCTTAATTCATGATAACTCGGAGGTTTCAGTCCGGGGCCAAACTGCCCGATTGACTCAATCATAATTTCATAGCTTCTTGAGTTTGCAGCATTGAACGGTATGCCATTCTCATAGAAAAAATCAGCAATGTGCCCATGAACTTTCTTGACCTCTTCTTTGGATCTAGTACAACCCTCAAGAGTCTGTTGACTCTTCCCCTGAGAATGCCTTTCTTCTATCACTTCTTCAGGTGACTTTCTAATCATTGAAGCAACAGAATTAGTTGGTTTACCTGATTTTGGTAGTGAATGCTGAAATTTTAGAGTGGACTGCGCTACACGCTTCCTTTTTATGGCTGTTCCAGAACTAGGAACTGGATGGATAGAAGAAGCACGAGATGATACTTGTGTCACAGGATCCTCGTCTAATTCATCATCTTCATCATCCTATTCAACAGGCACTTGCATTTTATTCTTCATTTTGCTCTTCATATAATTGCCTATCTTAGTTCTTATTTCTGCAGTTGTCTTTGTGCATTTTTCAACATCCCCGTAACCGCCAACTAAGTGTTGCTTCAACCGTTTAACTCCGGAATGCACTTGTCTTCCACAAAGTGCGCATTCTACCAAGTCCCGGTTATTCTTGTCCGGCCAAAAACCAAATTCCCATCCGGGATCATCCGATTTGGGTTTTCTGCTTGGATCTTTTGATGGATCATAAGTTTCCGGATCAGCCATGGTAAGCACTGTTTAAAAAATTTATTAAATGTAAAACTAAATAACAAAAATTTCACATTTAATGTTAAAAAATATATATATTAAATGTAATACAACACCGTCACACAACATAAATTTCAGCTTCAATTGAAGACACTGAAAAAAATTAGGAAATATAAAATTTAAAAAAAAACTACTGAAATTTATTCATTATTTGGGAAAAACTGAAATTTGTTTTCACAAATATACAATACTGACTTTTCAAAAGCTTTTTGACTTTCTGTAAAACATTATAAAGTTCATCACAACATTAAATACAACATTAAGTTCAAAGCATTCAACAAAATATTTAATACAATTTTTTTTGAAAAATATTAAATACAAAGTTTTTTTTGAAAACATTAAATACAAAGCTACTCACTGGATGATTTTAAACCCACGTAATTAACGAAGTTAGATGATTTTAAACCAAGTACCCAACTGGAGCAATAAGTCTAATAATTAAAATAAAAACACGAATCAAATACCCACTAAAGTTAAAAGTCTAGAAATAAACTGAAGAAGTAAAGCTGCGGACGATTGAAGCGACTAAGAGAGGCTCGCCATTAAAGACGGAAATACCTTGCGGACGATTGAAGACGGAAGGGAAGTAGTAGCGTGCGGACTGCGGGAGATGGATTGAGCGCAGATGGGACTCTGCGTTTAGACTACGGGAGATGGATTGAGCGCAGATAGGTCTGGTTTTTTTTTTGATGGGTTCAAAAAATTGGGTTTGTTTTTGGGCCTTTTCAAATAATTATGTCCTGCGTCCAGTTCATATAAGTCGTCGACTAGGCGTCTATGGCGTTTTACCGACGCCACAAAGACGCTACTTCGACGCCACAAGGTTTATGGCGTGTCGACAGCATATGTCGATCCTCTCTTACCGCCTGGACGATTTGGCGACGATAAGGCGACGCCATGGCGACGCCATGACAACTATGCTTGCACAGAACCTTTTGATGATACAAAAATGAGTCCACCAATAAAGTGAAATAGCGCTAGCTTTAATGGAAGTATAGTACTCACCTTGAACAGCAACGCACGATGACGTGACAACCCGATATTTAAGGATCCTATAGGCAGCACACTGGTGTGAAGAGAAGTTCTCAATTCCATACTTCTTTCCATCCATCTAGTTAGTATGATATTTGCATCCTTCACCTGCCCACCCAATTGTTCTATTACAAGTTCAGCAAGTCTCTGAACTAGCAGACCAATCTGATCTGTGGGGGAATCTAATGCTATGCAATGTGCAATCTGTATAAGCTCCTCCAATGATGGGTCAATTTTCTGATTCACTATCACAACTTCAAAGTCAGAACTTCCACCATTCGTTTCAAGTTCAGAAAGAGACGGCATTTTCCCCCGACTTGCAGGACTTGTGAAGAGGCTATATACATCATAGAAACCATCAACAACTTTTTCCTCATAGTCAAGAATGCTGTAATCCTAATGAATAAAAAAAACGACGTTGTAAAGAAATGGCTAGGGATACAAATAACCAAGGCATATCATCCAGCAAACAATCACTGACAAACTTCAAAAAAAAGGAAACAATGTGGAAGTTTCGTTACGTGTAGCAATGCGGAGGTGAGGAGGCAGTATATCTGTTTGTTTATTATCTTTTCTTGTTATAATATAAATTTCAGGGTGGAAATGAATTTCTACTAATTAAGGATATGAAATCTAGTACTCACCCAATAGTGACTCGACAGAAAGTCAGCAGCAGCTTCCTCCCTATCACGAGCAGATTCAGCACTATATCTCCCTCCACCGAGGATCTGACCTTTGCCGGAGTCAAAGGAAGGCTCCTCAGCGTGGGATGAGGAAACACTGAGTGCTAAGGCAAGCTGTATCTGGTAATCCTCTTCGGAGGCATAGTAGTCATGTTGCGGATTGATAGCAGGCGCTCCTGCAGCGGCAACTGGCGCGGCGGCAGCTGAAGTAGATGAGGCAGTCGAAGGACTCTGCGGATGCTGAGAGGTGCTAGATTCGCGCTGATGGGCAGACGGTGGGGAAGATGATGAGGTGAGCACGGTAGAGGAAGACGAAGGCTGAGGAGACTCGTTCGATCGGTTGGGGTGGTGAGGCTTCTTCTTGAAGATGTTCTTCATAGATGACCGGTCTCTGGGAATCACAGATCAGTACAGTAGAATGAATTTATTTAGGAAAATGGTCGCACAGAGGAAATAACTACCTGGGCTCTGGGACTCACATGTGAGAATCAAATTTCAGAGTTCGTATATGGTACCACCGTCTCTCTCTTGAGCACGGTACAGCCGGTCCAATAACAGGCTCAACGGAAAAATAGGGAAAATATTCGGTGGCAGTTTTGTAATTGATGTAAAAATCGTGGTTTCTGCTAAATGAGTATCGGTGTACAGTTAATGAGCAATAGTCCAATTTTAATGAGTATTAAGCGTACAATAATGAGCACCATGTTAGTACAAGAAAGCTGATATCACAACTAAAAACAGTGGCATTTTCGTAATTTTAGTGAAAATTTCGTTTTTCGTTAGATGAACATTAATACATTTTCAATGAGCATCAAATGTATTGTATTGAGCATTAAAAGGCAAATAATGAGTGATGTAATATCAACTTCATACATTGTAATTAACATTTTTTCCTTACCTTTTCTTTTATAAAAACTCATTAAATTATATCTATAATCAATTCTTATGAATTTTAATATGCGAATCTAATGTAATATGATACTTTTGAAACGTACATTGTTATGACATTTTAAAAATGAGCACATCAGTACCAAATGAGCATACGTAACATGCAAATGAACATTGATATGAATATGACATTTTAAAATGCGTATTACATTAATACCAAATGAGCATAAATACCAAATGAGCAACGAAAATTCGTGTTTTTCATTTAGAATCTCTAGTATGCTCAATTTTTCATTTATGTACATCATTTTATTCTCTAGTATGCTCAAGTTTTCATTTGTGTATGCTCATTTGAATTTCCCTACGAAAAATTCAAAAAACTCATTTAGAATCTTTAATATGCTCAATTTTTCATTTCTGTACATCATTTGAATTCTCTAGTATGCTCAAGTTTGCATTTGTGTATGCTCGTTTGAATTTCCCAACGTGCTCAAAATTATCATTTATGTAAGTTCATTTCTTTTATTCATTATGCACATTTATTATAAACACTTTACTCATTACCAATATAACACAAAATTTATGTTAGCAATTAACAAACTCAAAATATTAATACACAATATTAAAATACAATTTAAAAATACATTCAAAAAGGTGATAGTGGGGTTTGACTATTTGAGAACTTTATATGCCCACTTTCTCTCCAACGTACGAAGGATTAAAATCGGCTTCTCCATCATCGACCTCAGCGATTCTCCCGGCCGCGAGCACCTCCTTCGTCGATTAACGAGCAGCGAGCAACACGTCCATCGTCTCCACCGAACAATCTGCAGATCCCTTCTAGCCCAATGGTTCAAGCACAACATGGAAGAAGGTTTGCCACTAGATCTGTAACTAATTGCAAAAAAACCCGGCTGTACCATGCCCTAGGTACAGCCGGTTGTACGATAGTATTTTTGCAAATTTCACGCCAATTTATAAAGGAGTGTTTGGGTTTGTTAAAAAAAGCGCTTTTCAGCTTTTTGGCTTAAAAAATTTGAAAAAAGTGTTTTCAAATGACAGCTTCTGCTTAAATTAATCACTTGAAAGCTAAAAGCTGGAAGCAGGTAGAAGAGTGCTTTAAACTGCTTCTCACTTTTTCTATTACACAAAAAGTACTTATTTTACCAAACACTACCCACTTTTACTTTTCCAGAATCACTTTTTTCTCAAAAACTACCAACTTTTATTATTAATCACTTTTCCCAAAATCATTTTAAAAAATCACTTTTTTAAAGTTGAAGTAATTGCAAACTTATTAATTAAAGTCTTACTTTTATTAGTATCCATCAGTTTTTTCTAATTCTTCTTTTTTGCAAACAATTATGATTTAAAAAGACAAAAAATTTCATGTAAAAATAAATAAATTTGGAGTTTATTTTGTTGTTGTCGTTTCTTTAGGCCTATTTTTTTAAAAAAATGAATTATGTAATAAACAAATTAACCATGAGAGCTTAATTTTAAAACTTGAAAGAAAAAATTATAGGTTAGATAATCTCTAGTAGATGAAATTTCATGTTTTTTGTCTAAATTTTATATATTTAATATTGATGTCATATGAAAGATCATAACAAATTTTGAATTTTGGTATAATTTTTGTAAAAATTGAGATACAAATAAAAATGTTACTCCATATAAGACAAAAAAATAGGGATTTATATATATTATGGGACCCAGTTTTTTCCTTTGATGCAATACCTTTTGGGACTAAGGCTAAAATGTTATCGATTCATGTTAGCCGACTCTGATATCTTTTGGGACTAAGCCTTGGATGTTGTTGTTGTTGTATGCAATGCCAATTGCACCTTCCCTGTTCCCGATGCCCAACAAAAAGCAGAGTTAATAAACCCAATTAATTCTCAACCATGGGGTGTCGGCCATGTACTCACATTGGCACCTCTAAATACATGGGTTGTAAAGTTTCTTGGGGTGAAAAGCTCATGTATGACTCTTTCGCCCATGGATTGCAGCTAGCCTTACCGACTCTTACATAGTTATATCCACTGATCCACCTTTTGCTACTTTTACTCACTCCTTAGAATCTTTTCTTTTGGATTGCTTTCAGTTTCAGACCAGACCAGACTTCCATAGTTATAAAATACACAGAGACCATACATTTATCAGACCAGACCGAACCAACAAATTTCAGACCAAAAGAACACATCCTTGTACTCACTTTTGTGTGAGATTTTTTTGTCTGTAAATCCCGTTTACAGACAAAACAAATACTTCCTCCGTTCTTTTTTAGTTGCAACGGTCAACATTTCACACTTGCCAACGCACATCTTTGACCGTAATTATATCTTAATCCCTATTAGTAAAAAATATTAAAAAATTAGATTTTGAAAATTTGTAATGAGATGAATTGAACAATATAATTTAAAAAAAATAATTTTCATAAAATAATAATATAAACTGTAGTCAAAGTAGAACATGTGAATAGTGTAAAATTCAACATGTTGCGATTAAAAAGAGACGGAGGATAGTATATTTTTGTCTGTGATAAAAACATGTATATTTTGTCTGTGAACGGGATTAACAAACAAAAAATAGTCTTAGACAATGATGAGTATAAGAGGGTGGGTACAAACAAAAATTTCCATATAGATAAACATCATGCATGTTTGGTCTATGTTTTCTTTCCTTTTCTCCCATTTTCAATCAGATTCACATCTACTATCACCATTTTCAGGGGCGGAGCTAGGCGCCAACTAGGTCCCGGCCCTCCCTAAATAAAAAAAAAATATACCTTATAATTTTAATGTAAAAAATATGTATAACTTTTTTCAAAAATATTCTTGTACCGGCCCAGTACCTTGGTTTCGCCTCTCTGCCTCTCTCCGTTTTCCTCACTTCATCTTCATCTTCACTATCTCCATCATCTTCCATTTCCATCTACCTCACCATATGCATCACCTCTCATCTTCATCAGATCTCCCGGCTTTGCAGGAAACAGGTCCGGATGATGATGCCACTCAAACTATCGGATATCCGCAACATGATCTGGAAAAATTGAAACTGCCTGAAGTGGATGAAAATGCACTTCCTTCGGGAAAAGTGGAAGAGCAACTGTCAAGGCAACTGGAGGATCAGTTAAAAGTCACAACTACTACAGATGAGGCGAAGAGGGAGTCTGCTGTGATCGCAACAAAAGAGAAAGTACTAAAGAGGTTTCAGTGGGGGAAGGAGGCAGTTAACAGGACTCAACCAGAATGGGTTCAAAATTCATTTGCACTAAAGTTTAGCATTGAACGGGTAGGCATAGTATTGAAATTCCGAGATGAAGACAAGAGGGGATGGAAGGAAAAAGGGGGCTCTATGTACAAACCTCAGCATGGTGTGGAAGGATTGAAAGGAAAGGCACTTACCAGTAAGGTTGGAGTAGGTACAAATCGTCAAGTCTTGCTTTTATGCTGTTGGTATGGTTTCCAGGTTTGGAATGTGGAAGAACATGGTGGTGTTCAAAATTCAGTTTCCAAGCAGGATGATATTGTTTGATTCATGAAAAGCTCACCCAATCCAATTTTGTCAAAGCAAAATATGCATGAAATTGCTAATAGTTGGCCATTGTTGATAATATGTGCTGATGTTCGAATTATGGGTTGGTTCTATTACTTGAGATTTCACTCGTATGTACATCAGGTGAAGTTCATATCAGTTGTTCATTCTGTTAGATGCAGTTCTAGAGTTGTTAATGTCCTACCAGCAACTCCGATACACTGTGGTAATGCTGCAGTTTTAGAGATGGATGAGGTGAGGTATTCTTTAGGAGTAATTTCTGAGGAA